GGAGCCGAGGCACCGCCTTGTCTGCGCAGGCGCTGGGGCTGCTGTCCTGCTCCGGGACACCGTTGCTGAGCATCTTGTTCCACTGCATCCAGAATCGGCTGCTCTCCCGGCAAGGCTTCTGGACCCAGTGTTGCCGTCAGTTTCATCCCTATTCGTTACTCCGTTGTTGGATGTGGATCCCTAGGGAGTTGAGACCTACCCCCAAAGGAGCCGGGGCGCTTGCAGAGGCAACCCCACCTTCCTCTTCAAGGAAGGGTTTCCAGGCTGCCCACTGTTGTCTCCCCCCGCATCTGCTCCGCAATCACCCAGGGCCCAGCTCCTGCAGCCGGTCCCCTTTGCCTGGGAAGCAGTGACTGGCCAAAGCGCCGCAGTGGGCATCTCAGATCTCGCCCCTGCTGTCAGTCAAGGTCCCTTCACCCTCGGTTCCTCGGGACTGAGCCCCGGTCGCTGAGCCCTTCCCCGTCAGGATCCTGTCTTTGTTCATTTCACAGTCAGCCAGCCTGCAAAATTACTTGAATCCTTTCCTATACCTTCCCGGGCGGCCAGTTAGGAATTCCGTGGGGATCTGGGTCCAGACATCCAACCAAAGCCCAGAGTTGCAGGGACAGGTAGCTACTGGGACTGGCGCCACTCCTGGACGAATGTCTTCTTCCTAATGAAAACAGTGCCAGGCTGAGGTCTGAGTTAATGTGTCTTCCTCCAGCTTGCAGCTTCTGGGTAGTGCCGCATAGGCTTTGACCAGAGGGTCCCACAGTCATGGGTCCACTCCAGCCTCTCTGCCATAAAGCTGTCCTCTGGATCAAAGAATGTTAGAAGGGACCCGAGGGTGGTGGGGAGTTCTGCAGAGAGGGGCACGCTGAGGCCCTGCAGGCAAGAAGGGAAAACCCATACCTGTAATGCGCATCTCTTGCTGTTAGGACAGTCTCTTGAACCCCAGGATGGAAGAGGCTTCATAAGCTGACTTACCAGATGGCTTGTGGTCTTGAGAAGAACTTGGTGAGGATTCAGTTTTAAATAATACAGTAATTGTACCCAGTTCTAGATCACTAGAAAGCAAGCACTGGTTCAGTGAAAAGCAAAACCGGTCTCTTCTCAAGTGGGAAAGTATTAAGTCTTTGAAATGTTTGGGTAAATCATTCCATATATATTGTAAATGGTTCTTAAAGAGGAATGTGCTGTACTTATCTGTTCAATTTTCCTGTGAAACTAAAACTGCTGTGAACAGAAAAGGGGCCACGTACTAAACCTGACAAGCTTAGGTGAGACCTGCATGGCTGTCTTACAAACTCAGAGACCTAAAGCAACCACATAGGATGGTCTAAAATTAAAACGTTCTAACTTGAAGCAGTTCAAGGCAAGTAGTCATGTCCTGGGGTAGTACTTTTTCCTAACAAAGGTCAAGCATCACGTTAACTGAGCCTGTCGTCTTTTTGCATCTAAAATAACATACCTGATAACATACGTTTAAAATACCAAAGTAATGTCTCCCCCCAACCAAAGCACTACCACAGCACCAGAACAGAGACCAGAAACCCTCTCATTGTTATTATCATGCTAATTGTTAACTGTTACCTATCCTATAGTCCACTATGTAAAAGAAGTATATATCTATTCCTTTTACTTTTTATCCAGTCCCAGAGATCACCGCCCCCCTCAGATTTGCTTTCTCCAGCCTCCCTAATCTGTCACCAATGGATTTCATGTAATCCCCTATGTCTTCCCCTTTGAATTCTGATGTATAAAATAATTGGTAAAACTGCCATTTTCCAGAGCATTTTTTTCAATCCCTTGAGATTTCACTTCCTGGCAATTGTCAGTTTGGCTCAAAAAACTCATAAAAATTCTTACAGGTTTGAACATTTCTTACATTGACACTGCTCTAAAAAGTAAAGTATTAAAATTTTTTTAAAAGAAGAGGAATGTGACTAATTAATAATTCATGGTCTGGGTGGGAATCAAGTCTCATGAGATCATTGTTCCTTAGCGTCAAACTTCACTTGAACCTGTTTGTACAGATGAGGAAACATTGCAAGGTTTTTATTCCTAGCCTAGGGTTTTGATTAACAATCAAATGCTGGCTGTGTAATCAAGCTCATTGGAAGCTGATAGCCTCTGATTAATTGACAATCCAAAGCATCAGGCCTGCACCTCTTGCAAAGGCCCAAGGTTAGAGTCTGTCAATAGAATACACTACATTTCATTGCAGGATTAGGACACCACAGAGTTCAGGCAGATGACAAGGACAGGGTGGGAGTTACCAACTCCCAGGGAGACACAGGAGACCACTGAACAGCTATGCCTTGACATCCTTCTGTGAGAAGTATAAACACCCATGAAACTCACCCTGTTACAGATCTGGGCCATTGTAAAACCGGATAGAATGACAGTACTTCAAGTGGCCTACAACTAAAGATGTGGCATAAAACACAAGATTGGTGTGAGTGATCTTGTACAGGGGATGTTGTGGCAAACATACCATGGTGTCTGGGTTTCTTTCTGTCTCATTCATCCTTTCCTGTGCCTTTACTTGAAAGAGGTTTGTGTGGAGATTGTGTGCCTCCTGTCTGGTCCCTTCTCTGAGGTGGACTAACAGTAATAATGCCTTTCCATTAACAAGCTGTGATGACACCTGGTTGACACAGCTCATCTCAACCTCAGCGAGAATGTGTGATTCTAAGCAACCATGACTTACACAAATACTCTTCAGGAAGCCCAGGAGACTCAACTGCCAGAAAGCATTCATGCTCTTGCATGGGACCATAGCCCTTGGCGTGTCGTGTGAAGTTTCCAGCCTTAGCTCACAGAAATGAACAGCTTGAGCAAAAATGAGGTGGTGGGCTCATAAAACCAGGGGCCAGGCTGACCACAGGGTCAGACTTTCCAAGAGCAGTCAGAGACCCAGATCTATGCCTAAATCTCTCAAACTTTACATGTTGCAATACACCTAAAACTCTGTGGGGGCCCATGTTCACAGTTTGCCCACACAGGTTTGGTCAGTGGTCAGTGGTTTTCAAATTGTGTTCCTCAGAATCCCAAGATCATGTCTATGACCAATCTAAACAGATTCTGTAATTCCCTCACCCTCAAGGAGGGAAACATAACTCACCACTCCTTAAATGTGGGCTGTGCATAATGACTTCCCCCCATAGAGGACAGTGTGGGAAAAGAGAAAAACAGTAACATAGAGTGGAAAAACTGGCTGACAGGATCTCTGTCAGGTGATCAACGTCCACACCAACAGTGACAGGTCATGTTGACAGCAGGCACTCTGGTAAGGATGTGATGGAAAGGGGGCTGCACCTCTGTGGGCTTCCTCCCAACAAACCATAAACCCAGTCCAATCAGAAGGAAAACATCAAACAAATCCCAAGAGAGAGACATTCTACAAAGTCCCTGGCCCAGTTTCCTCATGACTGTCAAGGTCATCAAAAAGCAAGAGGAGACAAAGAAGACATGGCAACTAAATGACATGCGGCGTCCTGAATGGGATCCTGGGACAGAAAAAAGACAAAAGAATAAGGAAAGGAAATGAAGTATAGACTTTAGTTAATGATATGTATCAATATAGGTTCATGAATTGTAACAAATGTGTCGTACCAATATAAGATGTTAACAAATGGGAACCACATGTGGGATCTCTACTATCTTCTCAATTTTTCTGTGAATCTAAAACTGTTCTAAAAAAAATAGTTTGTTTTATTTTGAACTGCCAAAGGAGCTCATACTCCCTGGGATGTATATACCCCTGGAGTCACCTCCTATCTACATTGAGTTGCTAAGTTAACCAGTTTTTGTACACAATCAGACCTCCTATTTGAACGTCAGCGTCATGACACATATAAAACCTAAATACTAAAGGGCAATGTAAGAGATTTTAGCCCAATTTTGGCCACCTGATGCAAGTTGCTGGGTTGGCTGCATTGAGGAGAGAGCTGTAAGCTGCTGAGCCCTGCTTCTACCTTAACCCTGGACTGCGTGGTCACCGCCTCAATTTCAAATCTACTATATCTCTTCGTCAGTCCAGTTGACCCACTTGTAAACCTGAAATGGAAAGCCATGCGAACGAAAGACCACTTCCTCTGTTCCGAGCCCTGCCCTCCCTGCCATGGACTGGCTACAAAGGTCTCCCCTGCTGGTCAAACCCTCCTGCTCACACCTGCCCCAGGTGCCCTCTCTGCATAGCCACCAGGATGCCCACCCCGGCCTTGGCGGGGCCCTCCCCTGGCAGTCCCAGCGCTAGATTCATGTCCTACAGGGAGGGGTAGGGGCCCTGGAGCCCCACCAGGGGAGCCCCTCGGCGGGTCTTTGGCCAGCTCCCTGGTGCTACTCCTTCTGCAGGGAGCTGGTGGCCCCACCCTGTCCTCCTGGTGTTGGGGCTTCACTCCTGTCTTGCTCGGAGGGTGCCTAGAAATGGCCAAGGGGCCTGCTGACCTCCTGGAGGCAGTAATGGATCAAGGATGCAGGCCCCTGCCTGCAGGGTGGGAGATGGATATGGCTGATCCCTCTCACTGCCTCACGCTCTTCTGGGCTCTGTCCTGAGGGTGGGGGCCGTGCATGATGGGGTGGGGACTGTCCCCCCTTCAGAATCTCCCGCTCTGCCCTTCTGGCCCCACCTGCTGTCCACTTCTGCCCTCCCAAGGAGCCTGGCCTGCCACACCTGGGAATGGTGGTGTTTGCAAGTAACCCCTGCATGGGAACCAGGCGGAGCCTGGGGAAGGACTCTCAGCAAAAACCTGGCAACCTGGGGCCTCCCTGTCTTTGGCTCCTAGCAACTGCTTTGGCAATGCCAGTGTTGGCTTCAGACACTGCAGTCCAGGGGGATGTGGGGCCCTCCCGCTCCCTGGCAGAGGCCAGACTCCAGGAGGGAAACTGAGCCCAGAGCCACAATCCTTCAGTGACAGCAGACCTGAGGCTGCTTCTCTAGCTAGCTGAGCTGTGCTTTCCTGCAGACAACCAGGGAGGGAGAGGGCCCGCAAAGTGCCCTCTCCTAGGGTCCTGGGATGCTGGACTCTTCTGTGGCAGATCAAATGGCCCGACTGACCCTGAAACTCCTGGAGAAGGTAAGACAGCCAGGCACTCGTGTTTTAACACCTGGTTAGAGGGGCACAGCTTTAAAAGGTAAGATATTTTTGTGAGTGCTACTGCTTCCCAGCAAAGCCCTCTCCATTGGTTTTTAGCCTTGTAATGAAGGACTGTGGTTTCTTGGTTTTTCTTCTTTTCATTCATACAGAACCAAGTAGGTTCTTCTGGCAGTTTCCGCAGCCAGGACAGAGGCATGACCTACTGGCTGGCACTTCCGAGGCCCCACAAAGGTCCCCTGAGGAGGCCCTGGGCTTCAGTGTTTAAGGGAAGACAGAGAGCCACCCGGTGTCGGACACAGCCCCCGGGCCCGGGCCTGAGCGGGGCCTAGCGGCCTCGGCCTCACTCCCGTCTTCTTGTCCCCTGAGTGTCTGCACGGTCCGTGGCGGGCCTGTCCTCACAGACTGCCCAGCGTACCTGCCTTATTCTTCTGCCCTGTACCCTCCCCACCTGGTCTCAGGGGCCAGCAGGGGTCACCCCAGACGGTGCCTGTCAGGGCCAGAGTTAGCCTGGGTCCAGCTCTTCAGAAAGCTGTCTGAAGGGGGCGCACACGTCAGAGCGCCCATCCTTAGAGCTCTAGAGGGACGTATGCATGTGTGGAGGAGGTCCCTAAGAGACCATGATGACCCTTACGCCTGCCCCACGCCTCCAGCCCCTCCGGCTGGGCAGGTGCCCAGTGCTAGCCCGTGCCCACTCACACGGAGCTGTGCCTGAAGCCCGTGCCATCACCGCTCTTCCTCACAGAAACTGGAGCAGGAGCGTGAGGATGTGGAAGGGGATTCTGAGGACCCCTACCTTGTGCCAGGTAAGAGCTGGGCTGCTCGGAGCCCTGCAGGCGGGCGCGAGACCCACCTGCTCGGGTCCCTCCCTCTTGTCATTGGCAAAGACTGTGCTTAATACTGTTCCTTCCATCCAGGATTGAAGGCTTTTGTTTTCATCTTTACAACTCTCTCACACACATGCACACACTCACACTCACACTCACTGCACTCGCATGCACACACACACACATTTACTCACACACATGCGCACACACACACCAGGTGCTCTGCTGGGTGCACCCTCGCATCCCATCCTGTCACCTTTATCTGTAAACCCCAAGTCAGGAATATCCTTCATCCCCATTTTCCAAATGAGAAAATGGAGGCCCAGGTCACCCCCAGGTCCCGGCAGGTGAGGTGGGGGCATTCGGATGGGTCTGCACATTCCTCAGTGTGGCTTCTCTCCAGGACCTGAGGACAGGCCAGACGCAGCCCTGCACAGTGCTCTGAGGAGGAGGAAGGACCTTCTGCAGAGACTCTGGGTAGGCCGGCGTCAGCAGCCTTGGCCCGAGCTGTCTGTGGCTGAAACTACTGGTCACACACTCAGACTCCAGTGGGGAGTGGGGGTGCAGGAGGGAGTGGGGGCTGGAGGGT